TTTTTTTTTTCAGGTAACCCTGTCTTACCAAAAGAACTAGAGGTCTTCAATAACCCTTGTCTACCGATGTCTCCATTATCAGAGGAGGAAGAAGATGTCTCCTCGCCACCCTCCCCTGCTCCGTCACAATCGTCAATGTCAAACTCGTCAAGCGCCATTCAAATTTCTCATTGCGACTCACCTGTCCTGTCTGTGGATAGTCCAGCAACTGGCGAGGGGCCATCATGGGAGAGCGGAGTTGTGCGAATGTACGCTGATGGTCCGAAGGGACTGGCAGCCAAAGGCAAGGAGGAGAAGAAGTTCGATGAACTTCTTCCGAGTGATGAGGCAGATGTGAGTGAATTTTTTCCTTGATATATAGCCGACTGTCTATGGTTGCATTTAAATGTTACATTCATTCACAAGTTTATTCTTTAGTCATCGTCAACAGGCAGTAAAGCTTTTTTTTTTTTTCCTCTTCTTACTTGACAGTCAGTTCGAGGAATTTGTACTTTTTCACATATCATTCCTTATAGATTCTGTTACAGTAAGTGTTTTATTGACAAATAAATTCTTCCATGATCCATGCATGTGTTCAGTTGTAGTTCACAGATGAAATCAAAATGTGATTAGAAAAATTAAGAGGTGCACGAGCTGCAAACCCACGGCGACGAGTAATCTCTTAAGGTTTCGTATGACCAAAAAAAAGGGGAAGTGTCATAAATAAAAAGATTAAACGTAAAGTTTTTTATTCACGTTTTTTCCCTCTTGGGAGCTTAATGTTTTCAATTTAGTCATTTTAATCTACAGTATCGCTCAAAAGTAAGTTAACAGTCTCGACTCCACACTCGATCCTTGAAAGTATCGCGAATCGAGGATCGAGAATCGACTATTGATTATCGAGAATCGAGAATCGAGGATCGAGTATCGAGTATCGAGAATCGAGGATCGAGTATCGAGGATCGAGTATCGAGGATCGAGTATCGAGAATCGAGGATCGAGTATCGAGGATGAGAATCGAGTATCGAGGATGAGTATCGAGGATCGAGGAAGAGTATCGAGTATCGAGGATCGAGGATGAGTATCGAGAATCGAGGATCGAGGATCGAGTATCGAGGATGAGTATCGAGAATTGAGAATCGAGGATCGCTGGAAAATCGAGGATCGGGGATCGAGAATCAATAATGGAGACGCTCGAAGAACTTTTCTAGGATTCATTCGATCCGCAGTTTCAAGCAAACGGTTTTACCCTAGTATGCAAAACAGAGAACTAAGTGTCATTTGTATCCATCCTCTGATACTACTTTTACCTGTTGCTTTAGTCATCTCAGTTTCGTATTTCTGAGTTCTTGGAAAATGTTGTTTGCACATTAAATCTCCTTCCACCCAACGAGCCGAAAAACTTTCAAATATTTGCGATGTAGCGACACGGGTATACAGCGCCTGTTGCGTTTTTGATTAACTGATGAACCCTTTACACCGTGGCATCAGTATGCATATTTTCCATACTGTTCCCCGTACGTTTCCAAATGTGCTGACAAGGAGAATGTGTTTAAAAATCGAAAGCGTTTTCCGTTGGTGATCATTTCCTCTATTCTCGTGACCTTAGTGTTTTACTGGGGGCGATGTTGTAAGGGGAAAGTGAATGCTAGTCACTCTTAGGGGCCGACCAATTAACTTTTGAAGGGGAGGGGGGTGGGTGATTTCTGGTCATCAAGAAATTTTTTTTCTAGCAATCTGCTGTGCAGGATATTTTTTTTCCAGCAATCTGCTGTGCAGGATATTTTTTTTCCGTTCTAAATGCCCTTTTTTTTTCTGTTACATTTGCTCTGCGTGCAATTTTTTTTCTTTCAACAAGCACTTGCAGGAAATTTTTTTTCAAAATCACCCCCCCCCCTTCAAAAGCTAAATGGTCGGCGCCTTAGGGGTCAAAGTTTCATTTGTCCAAGTGCGCAGAAAAGCTGGAACAAAAATTGCATGATTCATGAGTATTTACACTCATGTTTCATTAAGATTTCTGTTCCTTATTCTTAAAATATCGCTTTTGTCGTGAATCAGTTTTCCATCAGTCTATCGATGAATCGTAAAGGGCGAGGCGCGAAGGGCTATTAAAAGTTTCATCTCTTAATTAAATCCATGACGTTTGGAAGGGGTTGAATTTTGGCTTCACATACGCTCTTTTGAACGAAAGCGAACAAACGTAATGAGTTAACAGTGAATTTAAGTGATTACAGGTCAATTCCCTTGAGAATGAACTTTTAAATGGTGTATAAACTTTTAAATGGTGTATGAACTTTTAAATGGTGTATGAACTTTTAAATGGTGTATGAACTTTTAAATGGTGTATATCTATATACTTAATTCGTGACTACGCATAACTGGTTTTGAAAAGGCGTCAAGTACTTCTTTTGATCGATGACATTCTCTTTGAATTCTCTTTTTAGAGCCCAAGAGACCTCACAAAATCTGTGACACCACCGTTAGCTTTTAGAGTGTCTTCTCGTCCGACCAATCTGTCATCGCATAGGGTAAAAGATAAGCAGCTTCCGCGACCGATTCCGAAACCTTTCGCTGTTAAACCCACTCTTGCAGGCTCCTTGCACACAAAGACATCATCTTCTCCTTTGGCGAGCAAAGTTGGTTCTTGTTCCATTCCTCCGCCTCCCAGTCTTGTACAATCATCAGATTCGTCATCTTGTTCTCCTCCTCCTCCGCCATTGCTATACATTCCTGCGGCGGCTCAGAGAGTCACTCATCTTCACGGTCCTCCCACCCTTCAGAGATTCCCATCGACTTCTACGCTGGATCAAGAAAGCACTTTGCCTTCAGAGGTAAAGCACAGGCTGACAACCATTCAAGATGACGGACCGCCGCCTTTAAAGAGATTTCCGCCCATTGATGCGGAGCAAGATGACGCGAAGAGAAACGACGCCTCGAAGGAGCCATATTTAAGAAAGGCTGCATGTTCAGAATTCCAGCCAATTTCATGGACATCAAACAATAGTGAAAAAAAGGACCGTGCTTCAGTTGATACTGTTTCAATTGAGAGATCGAACCCTTCTGTTTGTGACTCGACTAAAATTTCAGAGGTGGAAAAAGAGATTGACACGAAGGCAACTCCCTGGAAGAGCAAGGAAATGCCGCTGTTACGGAGACATTCTTCGGCAAGTGAGGTCGCTGATGCGCACGTTAAAGATCACTTGCTTTTCTCAGGGGCATCGCGTAGAATCAATTCGAGCAGTAGTCCTCCTCGTCTGCAGCGGGTTCCTATCTCGGTAGATACAGCAGTTGAAACGCATCTCAATCTAGTTGTCTCCTCCGGAAATTTAAGTGAACCTATCCGGAAGCATATAGAAGCTTCCAGAAGTCGCTATTCACCGAACTTTCCGTCTCACCCTCCAAGACTGGTGAGACATTCACCAAGTCACCTTGGAAGAAACACTAGTCCAGCATTTCTCCAAAGTGATTCTTTGACTCTCGGCGTTGATTCCAGTCGGCGGCAGACTTCATCGTTTATTGATTTAGCTTCCTCTAAACCTGTTATTGCGCAGTCTTTTCAGGAAACGCCTTTCGAAAGAACTATTCCCGTTGTCGAGTCTCTAGTTTCAGCGAGAAATTCTCCGCTGTTTACGTCTAGTCAGTCCAGTTACAAAAGTACTTACGTTTTCTCAAATCGCCAGACGTATGTGCAGCCAGAAAACGAAACGAGACCGTTGCCAATCAGCGCCTTGATGATGCCCACTGCCAATGGTTTAAACGCCTCTGGAAATCAGGTCGAAGTTAATGCCATGCGACTTCAAGTAGATGGTGGTTTCAGCCGATTGAACGAGCGGCAGCTGACGCGCCCTGTGCAAAGTCCGTGTCCAAGCCCTTCCTCGTCCTCGTATATTCATCGGGGAGCAAATTTCAGTATCACGCCGGAAAATAGACAGCTTAGTAATTCTCCTGTGGGATTTAAGAGAATCCCATCTCCAAGATCCGACTTGTTCAGCGGCATGTCATCAGCACCAGTTGACTATTCATATATGTCGCACGCTGGCCCTAAAATAGATTCTGCGGTTTCGGGAGGTAAACCGTTGGCTTTCCAGCCCAGCTTTAGACAAAAAGAAAACTCCCTAGGAGGCTTGCCTCCTACGTGGTCTCATTTACAGTCTCCCTATTCCATATCATCCGCTGCTTCTCGTAGTTCACCAAAACCGTACACTTTCTCTGCAAATCTCTCGCAGGCTTCGCGCCATTCTGGGTCATATTCTGTTTTGCATTCAAACGCAGGAACGTTAGAAAGATATTCCGTTGGTCCGTCTGGATCGAGTGATTGTCAGTACGTGTCAGTTATTCAACGCGCAAATGCCAACAAAGGCGAACCATCACGGCGTGAGATTTGGACAGGCGAACAAGAAAATATCAAAACATTTCAATTGCCAAAGGCATTTCAGGGAGGCGATATGCGAACTGATGCAAACTCAAATGCCTTTTCAACCATAGTTGCATCGCCAGATGCATCCAGGAGGGAGCAATCATTCAAGGATCATCATAAACAAATACAATTTTCTGTGAAAAATTCCGACACTGTTAACTTGAACCGGCAAACGCCAAGCGTATCAAGCAATCGTGATACGGAGAGGCCGCCAACTTCGGACTCGCCCAGGTTAAAAGCAAAGAAAGACAAAGTTTCGGGTTCAATGAAATGTGTCAATGCAGGTTCCAAGGTGAATAGTCCGCAAAAAAATGTCAAGAAAACTCAAGGTTCCAAGCAAAAAGAGACGGTGTACTCTCTTCCAGACAAACCAAACGATTCGCCGGTGTTTTATCCGAGTGAAGAGGAATTCCGTGATCCTGTTGCATACATAAACATGATACGCGGCACCGGAGAAAAGTTTGGTATCTGTGTGATTTGCCCTCCTGAATCTTGGAAGGTTTGTTTGATTTTATGTTTTTACAGTTATGACAACTGAAGTGTTTAAAAGGTGTTACTCAGGCTTTGTCAAAGTACTAAAATGTGCTTGCTCTTATTTAAATGAAATTGCAATCTGAAATTTATTCGATCGCACAAATCTACCTTATTTGTTTCGTAGTTTTCAAATAACAGCCTTCCAAACTTTCCCTCTTGGGTCAAGAAATAGTGTTTTCTTCTCTCTTAGTTATATTTATAGTTGTGTTTTTTATCATTTTCTTGCTTTAGCCCGAGTTTCAGGTGTCAGACAATTTGCGTTTTAATAGCGAGTGTCAGTTGATCCACAGACTTCAAGACAGGTGAGAGACTGGTACGACTAAATAAAGCTGCCATTTATAAACCTTCTCCCACCCCCCTCCCCACCCCCTCTTAAGATATTGGTATTAATTCTCTTCACTGGGTGATACAACCTAGCTTTTTTTTTCTTTTTTGTAATATTGACTTGCCTGAATTTTTTAAAGAGTCGCACTCAGTTTCCACTTCCTGATTAGAATTTGCGTAGTCTATAAAATTTCATCGTCTGATCACGAGGACAGGAAACTACGTCTTAGTTTTTTCCATTTGATTGGTCGAGGGGATGGCGCAATATATTCCAGACCAATCACACACTTCTGTGACTCCCTGCAGTACCAGACCCCTTCCACGCACAATTGAAAATTATCAATGTAGACGTTGTTAACTTTCCCTGGTGTTGAATTTTTCCCAGGTGGGGTCCTGTGGAGGAAGAACTGGCTTGCATCCGCAAACATCTTGATCAGCAGTCCATTTCTCTTGTGCCCATGCCTCAGGTAAGGGATTTCGTGCATCAAGTATTGTTTTGTGCATCAAGTCGTCTAATAATTACCACTGATAAGAACTCCTATGTTCACTCTGGAACAACTATGACCATTCACCCTTAAGAGTGACAATATCACCCCTGAATCACACATTAAGGTAAGTTAATTCTCCTTGCTAGCACTTAAGGAAATGTATAGAGAGCTGTATGGAGAATATGCATAATGATATTAGGGTGTAAAAGGGTTAAGTGTAAACGTAACGAATAGTTTGTCTTGTCTTGCAGATTGGTGGATTAGAACTTGATCTTCCTCAATTTTCCAGAGTAATTAAACAATTTGGAGGACTGCAGAAGGTGACATGTTTGTTAATCTGTAGATAATTACAGGAGAAAGACCCGGTGACCTAGAAGTTAGCGCGCTTGAATCCGGACCGAAAGGTCTGGATTCGTGTCCATGCTAGGCCATTGTTTTGTGTTTGTGAGTAAGACACTAAACCCTAACTCACAATGCCTCTCTTGAGCATGTAGTTTATTAGTACACTTCAGGACAGCTTTATGAGGCGAAACCTTGATAAGCTGGGGTAGTTCCGGGCCCTTAGGGCTGATAGGACCGAAACATGCAGAAGCTCATTTGCTTTCCTCGTTATTGCTGACAGTTTGCGAGAAAATTTACATTTTCTTTGATGATGAAGAGTATTAGACTGTAGTAAGGCAGCTTTTGTTTTGTTCAAGTGCGAAAACACAGCCATTGCCGCCTTCATAGACGGTGGGAATAAATCTTTTGATTCCTAAGATGCGTGTCATAGTTCTTTTTATTAACCGTAATATATTTTCTGGTTCTGTCCTCGTGTACCGGTTCACAAGAGCCAATACAAAAGACCAAACAATACACAATAGCTAACCGATAACTCCTAAACAAAGAAAGAACAATGGTAATTCCCTTGTGAACTGGTACACCAGGGCAGAACCTATTTTCTTGTTAAGTGTTGACGAGAATTTTGTGTTGTATTGATATAACATCTTCAAGGTGTTGAGTTTGTCTTTTCGTCACTGGTTGTTGGTTTGTTTTTTCCAACTGTCTGGAGAAGTTGAACAGCAATCAGTACTGGGTTAAACTTGGACATCATTTTGTTTGACTTTCCAGGTTATCGACAGCAAAAAATGGACGAAAATTGCTGAAGTGATGAAAATTCCTCGAGCGGTAAGTTGCGAATTTATTTATGGTTTTTCCCTGTGGGATAGATTGGATTTGTAGGGGTTTTGATAATTTTTTCCACAAGCGGCTACCGGTGGTACACTGTACGGATGGTACACTGTTTGAAAACTTTCAATAATACACGAGGTGTGCTACTGACGTGTTTGGGGAAATTATTCGGAATTGATAACACTCTCTCGTGTTGTTTTATTTCAGGCTCAAGACAGAATAGGAAAGTTACAGGATATCTATTGCAAATACTTACTCTCATACGATCTGCTTCCGCAGGTGAGCTTAATAGATAGATAGAGTTTATTGGAAAACAACATCGCATCCCATAAGCTGAATTACGTTGAATTTACAGTGGAAATGATTAATATAAAATCTACTTCTAAAACAAGAAATGTATGTATATATGTGTTTGTATGTATGTGTGTGTGTGTATAATATGTATACGTGCATTTGTATGTATAAAAATTATATACGTACATGTATTTATATATATGTTTATACGTAAAAGTTATAATTTGTTTGTTATAGTATCGAAAATGGCTCGAAAAAACTTAAAAAAAAATATTTGGTAGCTTGCTTGCTTGTACTTGGCTTAAACCTGCACACCTTAACAGCAGCATGCATTTTCTCCATACTTCTCTCTATACTTTTCCTGATGTACTAACAAGGAGAGTTTGTTAAACGGTCAAGAGCTTCTTGCGGGGTTGCTCATTTGATCCAAGTTTTTTATCCAGTAGTTATTATGTATAGAGAAATTTACTGCCAGTCACTCTTTAAGGGTTTCTATGTAGTCTAAGTTTAAAATCTAAAATGATCCATTTTTCGAGCATTTACCTCCTAGTGTTTGCTTTGCAAAACCGTTCATTTCTCTTTTAGGAAGAAAAAGTTAAATTGTTGCAACAGGTCCACTCGGAGAGGGAAGGTAGCACCCCCTGTGGTACGTTCAAGAATTCGTGGTCAGTGAAGGTATGGGAGGCATTTTCTCTTTTACTGTTCATTCGAGTAGCTTCTTGTGAGACTCCAATTGGAAATTTTCATAAACTTTGATATGCTCAGAGGGCATGTACCAACCCATGATTTATTCCTTGGATGAAATCCCTTTGTGCATACACACCAAGGCATCACCATAACTTCTAATGGCACGCCCCTACGACTTTCCCTCTTAATTCAAACAAATTTGAATTCGTGGAATAAGCCGCGTTGACAAACGTTTCACTGAAACAGGGCTCTTCTCCGGACAGCGGTATCCAGGGGTAGTCTTAACAACCGTTATACCCCCGTGTTTGCCGGCCTGAAGACAATATAGGCAAGCCAGGAAACGAACAGTATCCAGTCGACCCTCTTTATTGATACTGGACCCCGGGAAGATTTAAGATGAGTTATGGAGAGGTTTGCCGTGGGTCTGGCACTAATAATGATCAGTACCAGACCCCTTTGCAGACCTTTCGCCGGCTTACACTGTTCAAGGCTTCATACTTTCTTGCGGGCGAAATAACGCTCGTACTGAACCGCTTACAATGAAGAACTTCTCGCAGGCTCGAGTTCTTACTGCATTAGAACCACGCTGTTAATTACAAATAGCAATTAATGCAAATTAGACTGAGCCAACCTATTAGTCAGGGAATGATATTTGATGCGTTACTATATCCCCAGAACCATTCTCAAAGGAATATACGATGGCAAGTATAGAGAACTTCGTCTTTGATCAGGGCACTGATTTGTAATTCTGTTATGGTAGGGTCGTAACTTGTCTGTGGTACCATTCCAAAGACTTGCACGCAATGTACAGGAGCATTTTTTCAAGAAGCCACCTTTGGCCAACGACGTAGAGGTATGGCTGTGTGTGTTTGTCATTTTCTTGCTTTTTTATTACGATTAAATGTTTTACTTGGTTTATGAATATTCAACAATTCTTTTATGAGTGTGCGTTGGATATGAGATGGTAAATACGCGCCTCGTTGGCTTTCACCAATGTCGTATTCAACAAGCGCGAATAGAATAATTATTTCATCAAGTTTTCTTAAATCCTGCACGTTTGGATATTTGGAGCCTTTTTTAGCCACGCAACAGTTGGCGCAATTCATTTCCATATAAGGTGACTCAGAATATTAGCTGATAACCGGAGTTGACTGAACCAATCAGAAGACTGGAAATGCAATATTCGGAGTTGAAAATTTACTAAAGGCGGGTATATCATAGAGCGTGGTAGTAGCCGGCTGCGGATATAACTGGCCATCGTCCATGAATGTCACTTTTTATTATTATTATTTTTAGCGGGAATTCTGGAAGATTGTCCATAATCGTGAGAACTATATTTCTGTTCACCGTGGAAGTGTAGACACAAACCAGGAGAACACCGGCTTCCCAACTGAAAAAGGGAACGCTTATTCAAAGTAAGTTGTCCACAGAAGTAAAAAAAAGCTAAGCTATTTAAAAGCCAACTGGCAAAGGTTAAGATATATCCCAGATCAAGACAGATACTTCACTGCTTTGTCTAATTAAAGTAGCTAGCGCTTCGGAAACGAGTAGCCGACGCGTCTGGCGAACGTTGTATATACTTTTTACTCCATATCTAAACTGACTAATTTTTATAGGATTGGATGGAACCTGAACGTTCTTCCTCATTTGCCCGGTTCAGTTTTGAAACACCTGGGATTTGTTCAAGGTGAGAGCAATTTTGAGACAGAATCTTGTTATTGAACAGCTATAAAAGCGACTCTACCCTAGCTGTAAACTAGATCCTGACTGCAGGTCGTGTGTTTGTTTGTTTGTTTTTTGCCTCCCCCCCCCCCCCCCAAAAAAAAAGAGAACTACCTCAAATATATTTACCAGGACTAAACAGATGCTTTTTTAAACAGGGCTTATAATGACCCCACTATACGGTTTCTATTGCAATTTCAGATGTAACAGTGCCTTGGCTTCAATTCGACATGATTTTCTCTGTGATATCCTGGCAAACACATCCTCTTGCCCTTTACACGGTGGATTACCTCCACAACGGAGGGGAGAAAATCTGGTGGGAGATCTCGTTTGAACTTTTTAGTTAAGATAGAAATTGAGACATTTTGCCAATTTCGTATCACACGTCACATGTCCACCCTTCACAACATGCACACCCCCACTCCTCCCCCTTCACAACACTCACGCCCCCACCCCTCTCCCCTTCACAACACTCACACCTCCACCCCTCTCCCCCTCACAACCCTCACGCCCCCACCCCTCCCCTTCTTCCTGGCATATTTGTATCAAACACAACGAATATATGAAATTCATATATCTGAACTGCGGTTATAGAAACGTATTTGTGCACGATCTTCGCAGTAAAGAGCACTATTTAAGCAATAGTAAAAATCAGACCTGAAAAAATTCAGGCCTGTACGGGATTCGAACCACTGACCTCTGCGATACCAGTGCAGCGCTCTACCAATTGAGCTAACAAGCCAACTGGGAGCAGGTCATAGTGCTCTTTACTGCGACGATCGTTCACAAATACATATAAGTATCAATCAACCGTTTCAAAAACGAACAGCGTTAGACAAAGAGCTTCTAACAGGATGGTTGTTACTGAATGTGTCTTAGGTATAGTGTTCCGGCTGGAGAGAGGAAAAACTTTCTATCTGTCTTTGGCCAAAGGCAAAGCGGAGAAAAGACAACAGAAATAGAGAAAATGGTGAGACCTTGGTGTTGAACATCATGAAAATATAGCCTAACTTGATAACGAATAGGAGACCAGACTAAACGATATCAACCAGGTTGCTGGCAAAGAAAATAATTTCTAACGAATTGGTTTCAGAATTAGTATAGGAAATGGAGAGAGGCATAGACGTACCGAACTGTGCTGTTGGCTGTTCCTTTTAAATTTGATTTCTTTTTCTCTCATGTTGCGGATTCATTTGCATTATCTGTTTTTCAAAGGAACGGGCAACTAGTAAAGTTATGGTCAAGATTTTAATTGAATGCTAGAAACGTGTCAAAAAGTAATTTCAAGGCCAATGGCTAGTGAAAAAATACGACAGTTACCTCGCAGGCAATGCTGCAACCATGACCAAACACTCGAAACGGCAGCTTTTTCTTGATCATTAATCAAATTTGTTCAGTCCCTAAACATTGTGGCGTGAAATTTCTCGCCAATTGTTTTTTTCCGCAGGTTTCTCCCAGCAGTCTCTCGGACAACGGAGTAACGGTTACAAGAGTGGTACAAAAAGAGGGACAATTCGTGATCGTCTTTCCTGACGTATGGCAAACTTTCTGTTATCTATGAATCGTTTTAAATGTGTTGGCAGTTTGTTGTTTGAAACAACCCCAGATCTTGTAGCTACGATGTCAAGTGAACTTGTTTTAGTTCAGATTAATCAGAATGTTTTATTTGGCGGAGACGTTGCACTTCTTGCAAAAAGATATACATTGGCGAAGCAGAAAGACGACCAGGTGACCAATTCTGCGAACACCTTTATGACGTCCAAAGGAATGAAAAAGACGCATTCAAACCAGTCGCGTGACTCTTTAATCTCCCAAATCATTCTAAGCAACATGTTGCAGTTTGCGACCTTTTTCTACAGTTATGCAATTCGGAAAATTAAGATTCGGAAATTAAGATTAAAGAATTATCTTCCAAATCAGCACTCTTAATCACCACGATATCAACGAACGCTTTTTCAAATATATTAACTTCATATATTCATCGTATGTGATTTATCTTCACGGGTTTATTACGAATGAACTTAACGGCCTGCTCCCAGTTGGCTTGTTAGCTCAATTGGTAGAGCGCTGCACTAGTATCGCAGAGGTCAGTGGTTCGAATCCCGTACAGGCCTGATTTTTTTCAGGTCTGATTTTCGCTATTGCATAAATAGCGCTCTCTACTGCGAGGATCGTGCATCATACGCTTTTCATTGAATTTGCTTATTTATTCTTGTTTTTCACGTGACCACATTTCTACCAATGGCGTAGCTTCATCTTTTTGTACTAAACCGCACACAACCCACAATCCTTTTGTTCGCTCTTAAACACGAAGGCGCGCTATAAAAGGAGCCTTACGTCCCACTGGACCATTTGTCAATCAACCGTCGTGTGATGTAGAACTCTTAGAGTCAAGTCAGCTTGAGCTACAGCTACTCCAAAGCAGTGAACAGCGGGCGCATTCCTCAAAATTGTTTTATGTCTTCATCACAATAAAAGAATTTTTTAGATTTGTATTTCTTTTCTCCAATGGAACCTGTCTTTAGTTGTGGCGGTAAATTTGAGATCGAAGTAGGTGGTTCGCATGTTACCTCTTGCCGCCATGCTGGTGGAAGTAAACAATAGATATCTCATTAGCTCCTTTTGTTCGTCTACCAGCTTTTAAATTTGACACGCACACGTCAACGGTGAGTGACAAATGAGCCTAGGTCTTCCCAGGGAAGACTTCGTGTTTAAAGAAGGGCTAACGCTCGAAACGTCAGCTTTAGAAACTCGTTTCGGTGGCCAATGGACAGAGCTGAATAACGTATGCGCATGCGGTAGGTTTTGCCGCGAAAAACGGATTTTTGAGTAGTTTGCAGGGTTAAATTTCCTACTCTGTTGCTTCGAGGCGTCGTCTTCCTTGCCGCTGTTCTTTTACAGAACAACCTCCGAAAACTTGGTACACCCCCTAAAATTTTTCGAAAATTAATTTTCTCCTTCAAACCTCTGGAGTTAGGAAGGTGCCTTTGACGAAAAAAGAGTTCCTCGGTTTTAAATGTCAGCCCTTATAATTTTCCGCTAATTTCGCCAAATTTTAGACCTAGAACACTTGAGCCCGCGTTGATAACCGCATACCCTCTGACATAGCATTTTATTATTCAGCCCTGTCTGGCCAATGTACGTTATTAACTCAGTTGATAAAACCAAATTATCTTGTAATGTTTGGTTGGTTAATTCTCCCAACACTTAATTTCATAATACCTTTTCCACAGGCGTATTACAGTAGCATCAGTTGCGGGTATTCTATTTCTGAAGCAGTGGCCTTTGCAACCCCTAACTGGGTTATGCTCGGGTATAAACGCTACAAGGTGAGATATGGAAAGAGTGATTGTTTTAACTGAAGACTCCCATTTCGTTGTTTTTCTTTGCCAAAATACTGGTTAAAGGCGAAAAGTCATTTGCTTACGTTTTTCCTTTGTATCTTGATGTTGCGATGATGTTTGAGATTATTTTCGTACATTTCATCGGAATAATGTGTACAGCAAATATTTAGCCGGCTGTGCGACGCTGGTTTATAGTTCCTTCTGAATCCAGGATTATCCCTGACAGTTGGCGGGAAGTGCCTTCATTTCACCAGGTCAACTGAAGTTCATCTCTTTCAGGATCTTTTAATTCTTTTTTTTTTTTTTTCTTAAGGAATTGCAGGGCACCCCTTGGTGGAGCGAGTTTGCGTTCGAGAGGCTGTTGCTCGGCCTTGCTGAAGAGGTAAAAAGACCATGACTTCATCTTGTCCTTCTTTTACTTTTAAAAAGCCTTATTGCAAGAAGCCACAACCTTAACTGACATCGAAGGGGACCAACCAACATTATGAAAATTAACGTATGTTTTAAGTCTAAAAGATAATTCTCTATCGCCAAAACCAGCCAAAAAATGATAACCAAAAATGCGTCAGTAGTCCGCTGTAAGGTTTGGAAGTTGTCACGAGATGAATAGACTCTTTCAAGGTTAACGCCTCCGTTTTGCCGGGGCTGCGAAACTGCTGGGGCGAACGCAAAATGTACAGTGAATGTACGGGAAAAGTTGAGAAAATGATGCTCGATAATTTGAGGAAGGTTGACATCGTGCAATTTCTATGAATTACAAACTAAAGATACCAGACCTACCAGTTTACCGATCAAATTTGAGAAATGAAGTCTCGCGAAAAAAGCCGCAAATTAAGATTTTGATTTTTCCATATATTTGTCTCTAAAACCAAACCGCCGTTTGCGGGAAAATTTAAAAGCATTTGTATGAAAAACTAAAAATAAGATTTCTCACTTCTTAGCGAGCCAGAACCCTTCACATTTAATCGGCAACATCTTTTGCTAGATATCTTTACTTCGTAATTTATAGAAATTGCAGAATGTCAACCTTCCTCAAATTATCGAGCATTAATCACCCGACCTTTTCCATACATTCACTGTACATTTTGCGCTCGCCCCAGCAGTTTTGCAGCCCCGGCAAAATGGCGGCGTTAACCTTGAAAGGGTATATTTACTGACCTTCCAGTTCACACCCGCCCGGCACTACCAGGATCGTTATACTCATTCTTATTGTTGTTCATTAATTCCTTAAAATGTAAGTTTGAATATCGGTCCTAAATCAAACAAATTTCCCTACTTTTGAAATTGTACGGAGAAATCTCTCAGGTTATTTTCGAGCAAACGATAGTTTTGAGCCCAATAAACGGAGCCGCAATATATAACGCTCTCTACATGGTGGTATAGGAATGACATTCTTGTGGTAGGGTTCCGTTGCTGATGTGCAGGCTCTTACAGTATCCTCAGTAATGGTAAAGGGAATCAGTGTGAAAAATTCTTCGCCTGAAAACGTGAGTGCAGTGGGCAGGGAATAAGCGGGGTGATGTTATAAAATGCGTAGAGTGATTTTGTTTCCTCTTTAAAGCAAGCAAACAGCAAAGTTTGTAGACAAATAAGTTTATTTGGGAAGGGCCTGTCAAGAACCAACCCAAAACACTATATTTACTGTTTTCCCAAGCGAGAATTAGTAGTAATCAAGAGTAGGTTCATCCAAACCTCATTCACTTGGTTTCCTAGCATTTTGCCAAATTGCTCGGAAATTTTTTTACCACGTGAGGAATAATAGCTGTCGCTTTATAGTCGATACACTTTCGGATGTTAGCCTTCCGAATTGTGTTGCAGTGGCGACGAACATTGTATGATTCGTGAGGTAACCCTCATAGAGTCAAAACTTAATATAACGCTTCTTGCGTTTCCTTTGCTTATCAGCTGAATGTGGAAAACCAGGAAGTGCTTCAGTGTTTGCTGACGGAGCTTAAGTCTGTGAGGTAATGTTGTGCGTGTTTGCTATTGTTTATTAGTACTTTTTGTTGCTATTATTACTATGACTATTGCCCTTTATATTATCGTCATCCTCACCGTAATTTTTATCATTGGTTTATTATTGCTGTCGTTACAATAGTTGATTTTATTACTCCACTCTTACGTCATTACATCATATTAGAGAAACTGAGCACGCTAAATATGCTTTGGTATTACACTGTAGAACAAGGCAAAAATACGGACAGAAACGATCCGTGCGATCTTTGATTTCTTTTCCGTTTTCTAGACATGATTTTTCCAGCAACGAACTTTGAAGCCCACAGGAATTTTTTCCGGTCATTAAGAACAATTAAATGGCTTCTTTTGTGTTCTTTTCTTCTTTCACGCACGCCTTATGCGATCGGTACGATACTCAGATAAGACGAAAGATTCTGAAACCAGAAGCAAAAAGACTAGAAAATGAAATGATTATAAAATTATAAATCTGTTATTCAATGGTTTAAAATATAATACAAGCTCACGTTTTGATAATTCCGTGGGGTGCCTGTGGCAGGCCCACGGTAAGCTTTGCCCGGCATTCCTTTTTCATCGTCGACGCAATCGACAAATTTAATTAATTCTTGAAATGCTTGAAATGATGGACGTTTTCCGTATTGCAAGATGATTTGGTTTCATCAACTGAGTTGATAAAGTTAATTGGCCACCGTAAATAGTTTGTAAACGTTGACGTTTCGAGCGCTAGTCCTTCGTCAGGGCGATTTCTAAGTTAAGCGCTGGATAGTAAGCATGTCTTCCTAGAAAGCAGATGATTGATGTGTTAAAAATTTCAAAGGTTTTTCGTTTTTGTTTTTGTTTTTGTTTTTTGTTTTTGTTTTTTTGTTTTTTTTTCAAAGGGATGAAGAGAAATCCTTTATGGTCCAGCTTCTAGAACTCGGTTTGGTTGAAACGCAAGTCGACAACGACAGAAAATTTTCAGGGTCACCTGGAGGTAAGAATTGCTTGATTTTTTCAGTAATAAAAACCCATGTCCGCGCATACGATTAACCCAAGGTGATGCATTTAAATCTTGAGGAGTTTGTTGGTCGATTTCTTAGACAGAAGGTGATCTTCGCTATGGTTTGTGCAACTCGGAGAAAACTGTACGAAACTTGTTTCAAATAATAATTTCCATCCGTTTCAATCATAACCTTATCTTTCCTTCAAATAACGATAGTTCGGCAACAAATGGCGCCAAAAATCCTCTCACGTTCCCTCTGGATTCAAGTGTTGCAAGGAACGGAAGCGAACCCATGACCCTCTGTTTATCTGTCGGTTACTGTGCGACTCTTAGCCACAGGGAGACCCTTATCGAAGTGGTCACTACTTTTATGCTTTAGGGAAACGCTTTCCATGATAAATCTTAGCATGCTATTCAGCTAGCTTAGCTCGTTTTGCTCCTTTTATCACTTCTTGGTGCCTTTCCCTCGCCTGACGAAGGACTTTGTTGTTACTTTGCTAATATTGTTCTAGGTAGGAAAGGCAAAAAGTCGAGCACAAACTGGCCTCAAGCTGAATCAAGCTGTGTTTTATATTGCGAGGTCTGTGACCGTCCGTGCTACGTCTCAGCGGTGAGTGTCCACTTGCGTCTGCGTAAAGTACAAAGTAAAGTGAAGTAGGGGAAAGCCTATTGACCTTTTTCGGATAAAAGGTCTATTTTTTTCTCCGTGTTAGAGTGGTGTCTTTGACTATAAAAATTTACTACTGCACTCTCTAAATTCTGTCCTCTCGATTTCTACAGGTAACAAGTGAAGATGATCCTCAAGTACTCTGTTTAAAACACGCCGTGGAACACATCCGTCAGAGGGCTTCTCCTGAGGGATTTAAAATTTTGACCAGACATGATACGGTAAGTACCGAGACGAAAAATTTACAGTTATGGGAAAAGTAACGCACTAATGGTCTCCGTGGTGGACTGCGCGTTAAGAGGTCTGGGCCCTAGCCCCGGCCAGGATCTTTGTGCAGTATTCGTGGTAACGAAAACTAACTCTCGCACGGAGTGAAGACGGGCTAGAGGCGATTTTCGATGAAATCAGAGATGCAATTCAACGTGCGGTGAACATCCTAGTAGTAGCAATACACTAAGTCACTTCATACCAGGGAAAAAATGATAAGCTTTGATAGCTGTTCGAGAGAGTTTCACCTCAAAGCGCAGCAGTATAGCGTTTTCCTTCAACTTCTGATGTTGTTGTTTCATACATATTTAATTTATTTCTTTTGGGAGGTAACTCAAATAGGTTCTCTACCCACCTTAAACAGATTTTGCGGCAGAATTTCATCGTAGCCTTGCAACCTTTTTTTCTATGACTAACTGATGCTTTTCCTTTTAGTCTCGACTGGAAGAACTTGTACGCAAGGTTGAGGAAAAGCTAAAAACCCTGCAAACTCCACAAACTGCAAAGTAAAAGAAGAAGAACTTTTCAAACGTCTCCAACGAATTTCCTGGAACGAAAGTATAATTGTAAGGCAAGATGAACTTTGCAAGAGTCTTTCAGAAATAAATGTACTAGCCCCCTCCCCCCATTCTGTGTTGTTCCGAGATACTTATTCTGTGTATTTCAGCACAATCCTAATCTGGAAGGGACTCATTTTTTCGAAAACACTCAATACTGGTATATTAAATTTTATTTACTGTTAGATGAGTTATTCTGTATATGTTTGTTTGTCCTGTTTTCTCGTTACCTTTTTGTTGACAGACACTCAGCCCAATGTACCCATTTTAATTTTGTTTTGTGTTCTTGTTTTGTCTTATTTGTTTGCTTTTTTTAATTCGAACTCTTTCAAAGTTTCTTTTGCTAGATTTAATCTACTGGTTGGTTTTTTTGGGTCAGAATGTACCGAGAGGTGTAAACGTCTTAAAGTGAAAGAAAATAAAAAGCAAAAACTAATAGTTGCTTTAGAGGCAAGTGAATATATAAAAAACAAAAATAATCTTTTATCAGGAACAGATTTGAAATATTAAATTCAATGCTCACAAAGATGAACTAGGTTAAAGTTTATAAATAAATGAAGAATTTTACGTGAATGAGCTGACGTGTCTTTGCTGCCCCCTACTTTACTTCTCAGGGACAGTAGGGATGGTTTTTTTTTAGCTCCCTGAGTGGACAACGTTGAATAATGCACGATGAATGATGTTTCATTTATGTATTTACTAAATAAGGGCGTCTATCTATCCATCAGCTCACAAAATATTCGCGTATGTTATATGTTTAACAAACATAATCCATGTTGCCGCGCATCTGTTCAGTATTCGAGTCACATAGGTCATTAAAATGAGATAAGGACCACGTCTTGGTGTCGTCTGTGATCTCTTATTAGGGACCTTAAGCAGTCAGGACGGCAACGCCAAGGAAGACTCCGATTAAAAATGAATTTCTACTCTTAGTTAGAATTTCAAACGTGGCTGCAGGAGCTTACTGTCTCATATGGCGCCACAGCTCAACTTCAGCATGACGTATAAAAGTGGCGTTGAGTTCCAAATGGAAATTAAAATAATTTGCCGTCGCGGTTTCGGTTCGCAGACGACGCAAATTTTGGCGATTTCACGTTGTTGTTTTGCATAGGACGGCTAAGAAATGTACAAAGTTTCAAAACGCACGTGCTGAGCTATTGTTCTGCCAATTAGATCTCTTGTTTTTCCACGTCCTCGTTGCCGTCGCCGTCGTGGTT